TCCTTCTGCACTTCGAGCCGGAGCCCCGGTAACCCGTTAGGTTCTCCGCGACTTTGCTAAGGTTTAGATCTTGTTTTCAATCGTAGGTCATTTAAATTTTTTTTATTGTATTGTAATACATTCTCATAGTTACCTGAACAGATGACCAAAGCTACCTTGGTAACAGCTCGTCAGTGGCAAATCTTGTACTACGAAGGCAAAAAAATATTGATTAATGGATCGACTTTTATGTTTAGTGGAAAAATATCACAAACTTGAATCAATAAAACATTTAATTAACTGTTTGTCCTTTTATGTTAAAATTAGTGATTTATATCTTTGAATAAAAATGTTTGTTATTTAATGAACTACGGCACAAAAATTGCTGAATAATAAAACTTATATATATGATAAAACTATTGGCCCGCTTCAGTTTGGCTTTTACCAACGATCTTCGTGTTTAGATATTTCCATGTTTATCTGTCACAAAAACTTAGCGTGGCTCAAAATACTTTCACTTTTCACTATTTATGTTTTGAATCCCATGTTATAGGGGGTGAGCCTATTGCCATATACCGGGCACATTTTTAGACTCCATGCTAATACTGAGATTTTTTAAAAATCTCCGTAATACTTTTGCTCGACCCAGGAATCGAAACCGAGACCCCTTGCCCGGCAGTCGCACTTGCGACCACTCGGGCAACAAGGCAATCAAACCAAAAATATGTCTTATTGGGTCTAGCCATTCTCAACCAAGTATCTACACGTTCACAAAAAACATTTTATATCTACTGTTATATCACTCCTAGCCATAGTTGAGAGACGTTCTAACAAAAAAAGTATGCAAAAAAATTTGCTAGTCATGTTTTACCATAATACAAATTTTACAGTCGTAAGCTTGCTTGTTTGTTAAAAAAAAAAACAATAATCATCAATGTTGCCAACTAACCCCAAGCGTCTTTTTTTTAATAATAATAATATTTATTTATTTCTCGCATCATCATTTACATAATAAAATACAGCAAACGTTTTATAACTAAACCTGAGACTGGTGGCTGTTGTAGGTTAAACCTGTATCACAGAGAGATTCTTTGATAAACAACAGCTTCAATTATCTCTAAACGTTTCAAAAATACTCGGTGCTGTATTTTCCAATTTTCCATCTGGTTTTCGTTAATAGACGAGTTAATAGACACTGCACCATTCCTAATGCTAGTTATGGCTGAAGAAATTACGTGGCAACATTATTTTTAGAAACACCTGTACTAGCATACAAGAATTTATATTTAGAAATCCAGATTTCTATTTATGTTTGTAAACAAATATCTTCTTTCTTTACTCGCGTTTAAGATCAAATTTATTCGATTTTTGCATAGCATAATGTTTTTTTCGAATTAATATCTTAAAGGCTAATTGCTTTTTGTTGTTGTTTTTTATTAGATATAATTTATCAATGTTTTCTTAATCTTGTTTAATTAAACAATTTACAAATATAATTGCATCTTAAGATTAAATTAGGCGATAAGTTATTCTACCTAAAATACTTTAATTGTTCGTCTTGCCAGTGTGTATTTAATATTCTAGAAAATCTCATTCGAAATATTTCAAATAAATTTGCTGAGAAAATGCACAGCTCCCAATTATTGTTCTTTCTTATAGAACTACGAACGGAAAGCACTAATTAAAAAACTCTCAGATACACTGAATTCCTTCCTTCAATTCATTATACAAACTAGAATTAAATTTCTATTATTTCTATAGATCATTATTTACAATTTCTATTGCTCAATAGCTCAAAGGAGATTGTTACATATTGTTAACACTGGCGCTGTATTATTCTACAGTCTATATTCAAATCTTTGTTTTCATTTTCTAATAGACTCAATATATTACTTCAGGCATCTTCTCCTAGACACTGGACATTACAACTTTCAACAGCATTTCATGCGGACTCCATAGCTTTTTTTTGAGGGGGAAATCATCCAATGACTTCTCCCGCCCGGGTCAGGCCGAGAGGGAGTGTCAGACTCTTACTGACTAAAAACCACCCCGTTCCTACTCCTGCACTTCGAGCCGGAGCCCCGGTAACCGTTTAAGTCTTCCGCGGGTCCATATCAGCATCAGCCCTGTTGGGCCCCATCTGGGGTGGTCTGATGGTTCCTTGAGGTGCGCATGGAACGCAACGCGCCGTACGCTCGGGTCTAGTTCTGGTCGAGCGGCGAGTTATCCGTGCTCGCCGTCCGCAGGCCCGTGCTTACGGTGGCCGGAGATCGTCTTGCGATCCCCGACGATGGACTCCATGGCTGGACTACTATAAACTTCCTCTACTTAAGAGGATTATCCATACTTTTGAGACTCGGTAAGCGAGTTGGAGATTACGATTTGATAAGTTTATATCAAAACGAACAACATACGAACCTACCTTCATCCAAATAACATTTAAAAAACTGAATTTTAAACTGGACTCAACAGCTTAAAATATTTTTACCAGAATTTCAGCAACATATTCCCCCCTTTATCAATATATTCCATATATATTCCGATAAATACAGTTACGAAAGATTATGCAGCACGAAAATGTATTCAACATATTAACAATGCGGGAAAAAACCATATGTCGTACTTCCAATGCAGGAACACCGTTTTATGAATAGATAACAAAACCATAGTTGTAGGAAAACACATCGAATAATGGCCTATCTAAACGTTCTGTCTGTTTTTGTATCTGAATGGTTATAAGAAGACACGGACTTACTATCAGTTCATTGTTTTCTATAATAATAAGTTGTACGTGATATAAACATCGTATGCTGATTATTAAATTGCAAATGAGTTCTTCCTTTGACTTTTCAGAAACTTCAAGTAGGTAGATTTCTTCAGCGTAATAAACAAAATTATGCTTACTATAATATGGAAAAATTTAATAATTCTTTTGTTAACAACGTTTAAAAAAAACGACTTCAACCTCCTCTTTTTTTAAGTTGGTTAATTAATTTACTAAAACCTTCTCCTAAGAAGGAAGAAGGAAGGAAGACAGGAAGGATGGAATCCGCATCAAAATCGGATCAGCCAGTCGCGAGACAATCACGCACAAACATACACATATACAGAGAACCTCCTTACTTTTTGAAGTCGGTTAAAGATACCTGTATTGGGTCTCCTAAGAATACCGCGTGGTTTGGTTCCGTAAATATTGCCTTCACCTTATTCCAAAATGAGCACCCACGAAGATTTTATTCCACACGATAAAAAGTATTGCGTCCGTTCGAGTTCTGCATTGAAGTGAATCATCAATTGATAAGCACATTATGGCACCGTTTCGAAATTAATATTGATAAAGATTATAAGAGAAAAATATATAATCATTAAAATTATAAATAACAGAAAAAGCTGGCTATAAGTTGACTAGCCAACACAATTTTCTGCTACATTTTGTATTAAAGAATTTGATAGATAGAAATTTAATGACGGCAAATTTCGAAATTGTATTAGAAAAAATAATTGCATACGTATCAATGAGAATAAAATTTCCACAGTAACGTAGTCCCGAGACCGTTAGTATCGAGAATTCCAGGTTAACATAGAAATATGATTAATGATAAAACTGGGAAGCCTAATAAGAAAAGATAATTAATCATCCAGCAACTAGGAGCCCGAGGTTAACTAATTAACCACGGCCAAGAACGTAATTTTTATTTCAGGTTTGCGGGACCTTTCTTTTAGAAAAGTGTATTAAATAAAATAGAAAATTTATTAAGGTAGTTCAAGATCCTAATTGGCAGCCATTCAGAATTTCGCATAAAGAACATTCTAGAGAAAAATGTTACTATTTTTACGTTTTGTTTACATTTTCTTTGATGACAATGTTCTAATAGCGCTTTTATGTTCGTAGCTGTAAGAGTAATTATTGTCGATCAAGTTTTATTTTTGTCCGGTTCACAACACCTTCTATCGTCTTACTTTGTCCTGGCTTTTTCCCAACTAGGTTGGGTTGAACTATTGTTAACCAGATTCGGATGAATGTCAAGATTTCAGTGGGAATAATGAAACATATCACAATTATTTAGAAAAATCTTGATGTCTTTAGTCAATAGCAAATAGACTTTCATAATTACATTATTAATATCGTAGTGTTTCATTATACTACTTCGGTATACTTCTAAAGGAATCCATGATTGTGTAAGCCAGGCATAGATATAATAAAGAACAGAGAGAATATTTTTGTGAAGCTAGGGCTTTACGGTACCATGTTCCATGGACGTTAATGTGCCATGGTGTATTTACGATTAGCATTACGTATTACTCATGTGAAGGCAAAAATAACTTAGGGTAATTATTACATTAATTGGTATTAGTATGCCTTAGTACCTATTTGTTACACACCTTTTTCCTTAATAGATAAGCTTTATCAGAGCGAAACATTTACATCGATCTAACCGAAATGTGTGTTTAGTGTGTTTACGATGCTATTATTTTACATAGTCGTAAACTATAAATCGATAAGTTAATACAGAGATATTACATTTCTCTGGCATTAATGTTGTATTGCTTGTATGTATTTTTGTATTACGCATAAACACACTTGGAAATCAACATCACCACCATCAATTGGATTACTCGTCTACTCTGAGTCTGCTCACGAACTATACCTATACCTTACGAACTATATCATAAGAAGGACCCAGAGGTAAGGTTGTTAATTCGATACATTTCGATATTTAATATAAATAACTAGCAACCCGCCTCGTCGTCGCACGGGTGCAATATACATGTGTTATACATATAAACCTTCCTTAAGAATCATTCCATCTATTAAAAAAACCTGCATCAAAATCCGTTGCGTAGTTTTAAAGATCTAAGCATACATAGGTACAGACAGACGCCGACGACTTCGTTTTATACTATGTAAAGATAAAGATGTGGCCAGTCATTTTAACACATCGTAATTTTTTAATATTTTTTTTATAGCAACCTATTCTATAATTAGAACGTATATTAATTTCCTAATTCAAATTTTCCAGCTACTTTGATCACGGCGGCGGCTGGCACGACCGTGGGTTGGACATCACCAACTCTGCCCATCCTGCTAGCCCCAGACTCACCCATAGCGACGTCACCAGATCAGAGCTCATGGATCGCCTCAATTATGATATTATGTTCAGGTAAATATATTATGCTCTTGTTTTCAATGATATAAAATTTTAGCTACGAACGAATAATGTATGTTTCATGTAATTATAAAATGGAACAAGTAGAAACTTTTTACACAAGTTTTTAAACAGGTATCTATGGCCGAAATTGTAAACCAATGTAAAATCTTTTAATGAGATAGACAAACCTATTTTTATATTTAGCTCAGTCACTTCGAGACATGGATCTAGCTGACATCACGAAATGACTAATTCGTTCAAACGGCAGCGGGTCAATAACTCCTTGTTTGATCAGTAGCTACTAGTTACAGCTAACAATAAACTCTCTGTCTGAGAACTTTAGACCCAATCAATGAAAAGTTGGAAGTCATGTGATTTGCAAATACTCTATTAGAAATAAATCAGGTCATGCTTATTACGTGCAAATACAATCACAGATTATATTAACTGGGCTATGTAACTATTAGCACATACGAACACTCATTATGAGCCTATTTTTACTGACCAACCACTGAATAAGCAAAGACTTCTTACACGGAGAAGAAATAAACATTGATCACCACGCTTGCTCAATGTGAGTGGTGGTTTCGAACTTGTAATGCCAGTAATGCCTAAATTAACTATTTGCACTGCCTCGTTAAAACCCTAAGATTAAGTGGAAATTGTTTCACTTTAAATTAAGCACACGATATATTAAAGTCTCCCAAAGACATATTTAGACATATTTAGTCGGTACATTAATCAATGTCGCAACATGACCGCGATTCTCTGTCCCTCTCCGTTCATGCTCGGTTCACCCAAAGGATGGGGCCTAAGAAACTCGACACTGTGGATAACATAAAAATGTGCGGACTCAACAAGTCGATCAGATGTCCATAATAAACCTTGATTCCTGCTGAAGTACTTTAGAAATTAATTTAATTTTATATTTTGTGGTGGTGTAAATTTGAGATGTTTCCAAAGACAGTGAGATGAATTTCAATTTTGTTGTCATACAACAAGTAGCTATTTAAAAAAACAACCTTGGTATATAAGGAAAAAGTTTATTACAGATATCGACGATACAAATATAATTCTTTCGAAACATATTTTTAACTGAAACCACGGGCACTATCAACCACAAGAGCTAGGTCAAGACCAACAAATAAAGCCATGAGTCATTATGTTCCGCTTAGATCATTGTATGGTTTTCTCATTCCAGCCGCGAGCCCTATTCCTGCGGCGTACCTCGCAGACAGGATCGGAACCAAGAAGACGTTACTCCTGGCTTCGGTTCCTTACATCATTGGGTGGATACTGGTGATGTTTGCAGGCAATGTACCCACGATATACGCCTCCCGTCTCATCTCCGGCCTCGGATACGGCATAGCCTACACCACCGCGCCTATGTACCTTGGCGAAATCGCCTCCGATGACGTAAGAGGCGCCATGGCAACACTCATCACTGTCATGTCGAAGGTCAGTCTGCTACCCAAATTACGGTCATAATTTTCAAGTGTGTGAATGAGTAATTAAGTCATCGTAACACATTATTGTGACGTCTATGTCTGGCGACAGATGAGTAATTTTGTTTAGATAATGACTTTAACATATCGTCATCTAACCGTTAATCAGTTATGGTGATATCAAATAGAATTTGCAACTAATGCTCACCTCACATTGTACACATTCACAAAAAATCTGCATGAACTTTGCTATCAGTCTATTAACACCGAACGTCATTATCCAAATAATTCATACTGTTAAAACTCGTACATCGACGACTTTACCATTTCCTTAACATATTGTTATATTTTCGCTAGTAATTTGCATGTGTTGTATAATAAAACGCTGAGAATCTGCTAAACATCGCGTGGGTAATATTGCACTCACTTCGCAGAAACTCGAAGTGATTGCAGTCTTCACATTTTTTTCAAGCAAGCATGACTCACTATTAGAGATAGTACGAAAAATAGAAATACACCAGAGATTGTATCATCTAAATTTTTTTTATTGTGAACTAATTTAAAACAAGTTTCAACAACCTTGATAGAAATAATAATTATAATGTATACTAAAGAACTTTGTATGCAGAATCCTTACAAACAAGTATTTGCAATGTAGTACTTAATTAATTTAATATTCAACTAGTTTCATTTCATTAGTTAATTTTATTAATGAGATAAAGTATATAAGTCACTTTAATTAAAATCAACTATTCTCAAACAAGATTTGCTATTCTATGAAATATTTTATTTGATATCATGTATTTAAAACTTTAAACGTTTATTCCAGTTCGGTATCCTGTCTCAGTATTGCATCGGACCGTACGTGTCCATGTTGGGTCTGGCCAGCTTCAACATCGCTATCCCGATCCTATTCGTGGTGACCTTCAGCACTATGCCAGAGTCACCGTACTACTACATCAAACATGGTCAGAAGCAAGAAGCAGAAGCCTCACTCAAGAAGCTCAGAGGTCGCAGCTACGTCAGAGAAGAATTGGAAAGTATGAACAACCTTGTCTCAGAGAACATGAAAGAGAAGGGTCGATGGAAAGACCTGTTTTATGTAGGAGGGAACAGGAAAGGCCTCATCATTCTGATGGGCATATACTTCACGCAACAATTCTGCGGCAGCACTGCGATCATATCATACGCGCAGCAGATATTTGGTGCAGCTGAGGGAGGCTTGGGAGCTGAAGAATCCTGCATACTGTTCGGAACTGTTCAACTCCTGACATCAGCCATGTCGTCACAACTGGTGGACAGGCTAGGAAGGAAGCCTCTTCTATTAATTTCGTCGTGTGGCGTCGGACTAGCCAACGTCATCATCGGAGCGTACTTCTTCATGAAACACCAGAACAGCGAATACCTCGTCAGTTTAAAGTTCATTCCTATCGTTGTGATACCCATATTTATATTCTCGTACACTATAGGTTTAGCCACGGTGCCCTTCGCTATCACTTCGGAAATATTCCCCACAAACATTAAATCAAAGGCGACTTGTGTTATCCAGATATTTGCGGCGTTAATGACGTTCGCGGTAACGAAGTTGTATCAAGTGGTGGCGGATAATTTAGGGAACTATGTCGCCTTCTGGGGGTTCGGGGCGCTGTCAGTGCTCGGTGTTATATTTATATTGTTGCAGCTGCCTGAAACTAAGGGACAGTCGTTTGCGGCGATACAGGAGAGGCTGTATTCGCCAAATAAAGTAGTGTATGAAAAAGATGAGGACCACATGGCCAGAGTTAAGATTACCTTGTGACAAAGTACATTGTTTCTAAAGTATAAGTATTTTGTAAGTTATTTAATTCTGTACACTTTAAGTTGTTCGTTATACATAGTACTTTAATGTTATGCAGTACTTAATTCTCCGTCCGCGCTACGTGGCGACATTCCGCAGAAAACCTAATTTGTCGTGCCTGTCTTCTTTGTATTATATCGTAGTTGTAACTGTTATAGCGAGAGCTATAGACCAAAGAATTCATTTTAGCACTTCTAGAAAAGTTTCTCGACGGTTCTCGAACGTTTAGGTTTCAAATTATAGAAATATTTTGCTTCTATTGTGAATGGACTTCCATTTGTTTTAGCCCAGTTGTAATTGTAATAGAAGATTATGATCTATAATTTTATGTAAGTTTTCGTATTAAGTTTGTTTGAGTATTATGTGCCAACAATATAAGATGGAGCATCTACTTAGCAGTTTAAATGTGATGGATAAAACTAGAAGAGTGAAAAGTGCCTGCGTTAACTAATAACATGATACTTAAGTAGTTTATAGTATATACTGTTATTTATTACATGAAACATTTATTATAAGGATTAAAAAGTGCCTTTATATATACAACAAATATCTACATAACAGAACAAGTACAAAACATAATATAAGTTACAGTAATGTTAGTTCTTGTAAACTATATCAAGTTTTTAAACAGCTTGTTAATATTCACAGGGATATAAAAACGAATTTATGCTTGAATAACAGTTGAATGTTTATGGAATCTCTTACATTACTTGTTGTATGAATCCGAAAACCGAATGAATGGTAACGGTGGCGGAATACTTTTGTTTTAAATAGGTACAAAGATTGAAATTAGTACAGTCACCACACGCTACTCGGCATTGTTACAACAATATCGTATGTAACGTAACTAATTATCAATTATTCAACTATCAATCGTAAAATATATTACCTTATTAAATGAGACACAACATAGTGCTTTAAATTGCCTGTATTTAAAGTTTATAATTGTTTAAAACCGAGTCGCATAGCATGTGGAAACCGCACTAGAGCAACAATAAGTTCCAAGCCAAACATTTTATAAATGGATTGTAACTCGTCACTAGTTAGAAAAGTTTTTGTACTCCTCGGTAACTGGTAACTGGAACAGGGGTTGGCTATTATTTTTCCTTGTTTAGAACGGCCCGGACAGTTCGGTACAGTCGACCAAATAGTTTCGTGTTCACCTACTCGTAACTCCTACGGACGAGTTGCGGGATTTTTTCTCGGAGTTGTAAACTCCCGCTTTTCAGTTTTGCCTGACGTGTTTATTCTATTAATTTCTTAATAGTTGATCCTGTTTTTATACATGTAAATAAATTTTGCCATTTAAAAAATAGTGCCTTATCTCTAACGTAACACGTTAAATTATTTTGTAAATTTTGACATAGAAGTTTTAGTATCCAACTTTGAGTTTGGCAATGAAGACATTTCTATTTAATGATGGTACAAGTATAATTTCAAATAGTGTATAAATAATTGTTAATGGAATATAAAAAAAAAGGAAATTGTTACCAAATATTTGGTCGATTGTACCTTGGTCAGCAACTGCACTTCATTAAAGCTCTTTGCAATATTTTTGTAACCAACTTGTTCTAACTCCTCTCCCAAACTTGTTTGCAGTTAAGTCTATTTTGGACTCTATTCCAATATACTTGTGTATTATATTGCTATACTCAATTTCAGAGCATGACAACGCGATGTTGCGATTTTGCTCTGCATAAAAGCACCTATTGATGATGAGTGCTGTGAATAAGATTAAGGATATATGCTTTAAAAGCTTTCAATGTATTGAAATTTTGGTAAAAAAATAAATTGTTTGGTGCCTTACAATGTTATTGATTAAAATCTCATGGAGATGTCTATTCAAATACGTTCTTATTGTAAGTAATTCGTTACTAGTGTTTCATACTGTCCATGGGCCTTCTGCAACCCCTTAATATTCTTAACCTCGTTGTGCTAATTAAAAAGCTACCTTAAGGCACTGAACTTAAGTATGTAGTACTTAGTTTAATACTAAGAAATATTTATTAATAGAACACTAATATTTTTTCAAATACGTACTTAGACCACACAGCATTTAATATTAGGTAATTTAATTTCACATTTTTACGCTGCGAAAATAGAAAGATGAAAAACCATTTACCTACAGGATTTTTAGTTTTTAATCGAAAAGTAAATTGAAATTTTATGCTATAATATCGAATTTATTTATAGTAGAAAAGAATATTAAATTTAATCCTCGCAGGAGTAAAAATAAACTTAAATGTTACCTTTAATATGTAAAATATTTATTGTTATAATGTAAAAAATGTGATTTTACAAACATTCCGAATGTCTCACGATTATCGTGCCATTTTACAATAAAAATTAAATAAATAAAATATGATTGTTAAACCGGAATGCAATGTTTTGTGAACATCTCTAATTAAATATTAAGATTAATATTTATGATTAATTTTTAATTAATTATTAAAAGATATTGTGATAACATTTCATGATTTTTATTTATTGGCGTTTGTCACCAATAATAAGCTTCCTGATATTAAGACAGGCAATGCCATACCTACTGTAAAACTGTTCTTAAGTTCCTTGCTTTCTTTTATTTTATTAAATCGTAAGTACTTGGAAGCATAAAGTCAATCATTACTAATTTCTAACCTACTATAATTAGGTGGCGTATTAAAGCCAGAGTGATTCCGCTGAGGGAACTATATCTCGCTAGACGACTTATATAGCTCTGTTTCTTTCCCTCAAAGGTACCATTCCGACTTTAGGACGTCATAATAACCCCGCAGGACTTAAAGTTGCATAATTCAGATAGAAAGAAGAACTGATATCGAATTTAAAATCTCTCTTTACTTTGTATCTCTAAAATCAACAATTTATCTAACACTATACATATGTATACATTACACTAAGGTAAGAAAAAGATTTATTACTAAACAGATACCCATTTGTAGCAACATCAGAGAGCAAGAAACAAACATCGTAGAACAAAAGTTCAACAAAACACTGCAGACACATTGTGCACGGTACAGTTACAAATTACTGTTTCTGCTGTTACCACTTTGTTTGTTTTCTATTTGCTATTCCTATTATCCTAATTATCGACTAGGGATGCATAAGCTTGCACTGTTAGCTACAAACTACATTCTGCTACTAAAAACCCCTTTTGTTCTTGCCAACTTGAGCTCATTATATTTTCGTGTGCGTTACCCAGGCAAAATGTTTTGCTTTAGAGAGATGAGACTTAAACAAATAATTAGTGTATCATGAGGAGCAATTTGTTTACTAATAGCAAAATTTGTTTGAATTGTAGTTTTTAAGTTATTTGAGAAAAACAAATTTTGCTGGAGTAACGTTTGAAACGTTACCCAGGCAAAATAGTCTTTCAAAAATTAGTTTCAGCACGGAACCAAATACATGAATAGATAGCTTTTGTTGCGTAGTAAATGTTTATAAATAGCAAAATTTGTGTGTGGTATAGTTCTTTAGTTATTTAAGATTTTGCTGCGGTAACGTTTTGGGATTTCCCAGATCTCGAAAACGGCTCAACGCAGAAGTTTGAAAAAAATACCAATAAAAGACCTCAATTTGTTTAAATTTGTTTAATCATTAGTTTTTGATTTGGTTGACGTAAACCAATGTAATTAAATGGTTTCAAAAATCAGAAGAAACGGGTTTACAAGTAAACCAATACACTTATAACCAAATAAACAGCTGTAAAAAATACCCGTGGTTCGACGCTTGTTTACAGCAGACATTTTAGATTTCATACTTTACACGTTAAGAAGATAAAAACAAATTTGATTTATTTTAGACTGGTCGTACTTTAGCGATCAAATACGCAGTTCCCATAACATTAAGAAACATGGCATACTTTAAACAAATTAAAATGATTCATGAAAATTCCTTCCTGTTAATTTCAGCTTTGAATTACGGCTCTAATGAAAGTTATCTCAAAAACAAGAATATGTCAGCAATTCTCTAATAAGCCGACCAAATTGAAAAGGTCACGTAAAAGCGACTGCACCGTACGTACGGGTAATCTTCGCAAATTAGCAGCTTGGTAACCGATGTTTTGTACAGTTAAGCAGAAAAACGTTATTCGTGAAGCCGATTTTTTAATATTTTTTAAGTGCAGTACCATATTACACAATTTTTACTAGTTAATGCCAATTAAAATGCCATACTGTGAGTCGAGGTGAAATGGAGTCCACCTATCAACCTACGTTATTAGTACCTCCTAAGGAAAATTGTACAAACTATTAATGTATCCAAATATTAAAATTAAGTAAGTAGGTTATAACTTATCTGTGATTTTTCTCTAAAAATGTTGATGCTAAGGCAAAGCAATACATATAATTTGTATGAGACTGATTTTTTAAATAAAAATAATGAATCTTAACCATTTTATTATTTTAACTAACCTGACCAGAAAACTTTTGTATTCAACTGTACTAACAAAACATCTATATTATCCTGTTCATTTCAGATGGTTGCGCTTATGTATGGTGCGGTCGCTTTTATGTGACCTTTTCAATTTGGTCGGCTCATTAGAGAATTGCTGACATAATCTTGTTTTTGAGATAACTTTCATTAGAGCCGTAATTCAAAGCTGCAATTAACAGGAAGGAATTTTCAGGAATCATTTTAATTTGTTTAAAGTATGCCATGTTTCTTAATGTTATGGGAACTGCGTATTTGATCGCTAAAGTACGACCAGTCTAAAATAAATCAAATTTGTTTTTATCTTCTTAATGTGTAAAGTATGAAATCTAATATTTCTGATGTAAACAAGCGTCGAACCACGGGTATTTTTTACAGCTGTTTATTTGGTTATAAGTGTATTGGTTTACTTGCAAACCCGTTTCTTCTGATTTTTGAAACCATTTAATTACATTGGTTTACGTCAACCAAATCAAAAACTAATGATTAAACAAATTTAAACAAATTGAGGTCTTTTATTGGTATTTTTTTCAAACTTCTGCGTTGAGCCGTTTTCGAGATCTGGGAAATCCCAAAACGTTACCGCAGCAAAATCTTAAATAACTAAAGAACTATACCACACACAAATTTTGCTATTTATAAACATTTACTACGCAACAAAAGCTATCTATTCATGTATTTGGTTCCGTGCTGAAACTAATTTTTGAAAGACTATTTTGCCTGGGTAACGTTTCAAACGTTACTCCAGCAAAATTTGTTTTTCTTAAATAACTTAAAAACTACAATTCAAACAAATTTTGCTATTAGTAAACAAATTGCTCCTCATGATACACTAATTATTTGTTTAAGTCTCGTCTCTCTAAAGCAAAACATTTTGCCTGGGTAACGCACACTATATTTTCTACGGATATGAAAAGAATTGTCTTGACTCTTGTTAAGTTGTTAGTTCCAAGACAAGATATGCGTTCTGAGCTATGTTTTCGGTAGAGAAAAACTAGATTATGCCTTCAAAAATATTAGCTACTTTTTTCATTGAGAATTGCTGGAATTTCGAGTTTCATAAACCCAATATAACATTTTTGAAGGCATAATCTAGTTTTTCTCTACCGAAAAAAATCCATTCATAATTTATGTCTGTTATAGAGGAACCTCCGAAAAATGCGTAGTAAATAAAACAACCCAATATTTATTTTTTATTTATTTAGATAACCAAAATGAGGGTAGAAGTGAAGTGTGTGTACAACTACCACCAGCAGGTCTACACACGACCTCAATGGGTGTAAAGCAAACGAAACATCCAGAAATAATTAGTAATTCTTCACTTCTTTTTATATGAAAGAAAGAAAGGAAGAAAAAGATTTTAATTCACGCCAAAAAACAAGTGACAGGTACAAATAAGTCATTCTATTAGTAGGAACTGATGTATGGTTCATGTCCCAAGTCTGCGATGAAATGGTACCAGTTCAGAACGTGCAAGACGGCCTTGCGCTGGTATTCTACTGGCCCCTTATAAATATATATAGAGAGAAACGCATATCTTATAAATTAGACAGCCAATCTCTCGTAGTCAGCTTTTAATCATTTTTGTAACAAATACAACAAAATCAAAAATTGCAAAAGTTAAAACCCGGCTTCGAAACTTGATCCGAAAAATTTCCAAGCGGGGCCATCGGTTGACCTAAATAAATAGATCAAGTTGGATTATAATTACCTGCTAAACAGATACGGTTTAAATGGAAATCTACCAGCTACCTGTCCTCACACGGTAATTACGTTTCAAGAAGGTATGATAGTGTTACTATCAAAAACAAACTAAGCAGTGGACAGAACATATCACTGGAAAATTCTTAAGTTCCGTTTATCTGATATCTCTTGTTTACATGTTAATGTTACGAACATACTAAATATTTGTATATGTGTCATTGGATTTATCGAAATATTGTTTTTTTAAACTTTGTTGTAACTAGATGTTTTTATACTGGAATGAAGTGGAGCTGTAGAGATATGAACTCAGTAGGACTGGCTATTTGAGCGGAAAAGA